ATTAAAAAATTTCCTAGTTTTAAAATTTTAGTAAAAATAATCTTGTTCATAGGACATAGTATAATAATTTTGATTTAAAATATCATGATCATATCAGGTTAAATCTCAAATACCATTTCTTTCCAAATAGTCTTATTTGACCCTTTAATTATCTGTAGTCTAAAATCAACTAAATTTCTTGATTCTGAATAAATGAAATTCTCTGCATACACACCTGCCATAAAAGTTAATTTCTGTGTTTTGTGATTTAGTTTTGTTTGTAATGATAATTAGTGCTTTCTAACTAAAATATTCTGATAAATTCAAAGGAGGATATATTGTAAACACTTTATATTTAAAAAATATAATTACCCTTCCTTGTAAATCAACATTATTTTTATAATTCTCTCATTTTCCCTTGTTTCCAGGACAAAATTATTATATCTCTAAGAGACCCAGAAAACTCCAAAGCTTAGGTTAGCTATTTGGCCAATCTCACCTTAAAGTTAAGAATTTCTCTTAACCTTTTAAAATTTAAGCCTCTTCTATGCCTTTATTGTAATATTATTGGACTGAAGGCAGTAGCACAGGAGGCCAGACACTGGAGTATCCAATCCTTATTTGGCTGAGCAGACATGTCTCATTGCTAGTTAGGGCATATACTAGCAAACTAGCTACGGTCCAAGAATTGTTCCTATGTTGGCTGTTCTGTTGCAGCCTCCTGGGTTGCTTATGTAAGTACAAGATAATTTCTCATAAGTGTTTGCTAGACTGTCAAAGCAGTAGTTTTTAACTGATAAATACTGGTCAAGGTCATTTACCCAATGTTAGAATATGGGCTAATACTCAGATGAGAAAGAATCAAACGTACAAGCTGGTGGTTATAGTAAAGACAGCCAAGATGGTGTTAAGAAACCCTTATTTTTCTCCATTCTTTCCATGTGGATTTGTGATAGTCCTGATACTTGGGACCATTCTTTGTCAAATTTACTTTATAAGTCTGTAAAAGTAGATATGAGAAGTGAACGAGCTGGTTATTTGTATGCAACTTGTATATAGATAATAATGAATTTTCATTTAATTGCTCTTATAGATATTTCCAAACATTATAGTCAAAAAGCTACAATAGAGCATGAACTTCCAACAGCAACACAAAAGCTGATAACAACTAATGACTGTATCCTCTCATCAGTAGTGGCATTAACAAATGGAGCAGGAAAGGTAATTATTCTCTGGCTTATACTGATGTTAAGTTTAATTCTTATGTGTGCTCCATTTTTTTCTTTTTTCTTGAATGACACAGGAAAATTGATCTGTAAAAGGATTTTGGAATGTGAGGCTTTTTGGTAAAATAAAGTTGTTTCCTTTTCCGCCCTTCCTACCCAATATTTAAAACGATATGGGCCTGTGCAGTGGCTCACACCTGTAATCCCAGTCCTTTGGGAGGCTTAGGTGGGAGGATTGCTTGAGGCCAGGAGTTCAAGAACAGTGTGTGGGCAGCATAGTGAGATTCCTGTCTCTATAAAAAATAAAAAAATTAGGCATGGTGACACGTGTGTGTAGTCCCAGCTACGTAGGAGGCTGAGGTGGGAGGATTGCTTGAGCCCAGGAATTCAAGGTTACAGTGAGCTATGATCATACCACTGTACTCCAGCCTGGGTGACAGAGTGAGACCCTGTCTCTAAAATAAAATAAAATAATACGATAGTTACTGTTCAGCATTGTTGTGTGAGTAAATCATTCACTGTTGATGTTTTGATGCAATATTGGATGATATGAAGATTCTATTAACAGATAGTCTCAATAATGTATATCCTTGTGTACCTCAAGGGTCTGCCATATAGAACATTGGGAATATACAGAAAAAGAAAACAAACAAACAAAAAAACCCCAGTACAACTTCTGTTAATATTTTGGGTTTTTCCTTCCTAGTTTTTTTTTGGGTTTTTTGGTAACAGTTGTGATAATGCTACCTCTGTGGTTTTGTATCTTAACAAGTACTTCAAAGTGACTTCAATGCGTATCTTTTCTTGAACCCTTAATTGTAGGTAATAATCATTCTGATCATTAAGCACTTAATTCTTATCATAAATTGACCAAAGTGCAGTTTCTTTAAAAATCCTTTGATCATGGATATTCTAGTTTCAGCAGAAATCATATCCTCAGAACATGTGGCTATCATCAACACTTTCAACAATTAAGGGTTCTCTGAGAACTCCCCATATATATATAAAACTCCCCATATATATAAAACCAAAAGGATTATATTCAGAACTATCTTAGCCCATTTATTTCAGCAAACTCAACATAATTTCTCAAGGGAATGTTAATCTATGTATCTGTATTTATATACCATTCTTTTTCTGACAAGTTGACTGTAATAGGAACAAATTTTCTTCAAGTAGTTTGAATTAATGAGATACGATCATAGATCATGTTAGACATTTAATGTCATCCTTCCCAAGCTCGGACTGGTCTTCATGACCATTTGCTATAGCGTGGGGCCATAATTATAACATGTTATCTTTAGATTCTATCAGCTCACCGATCTGTGTCTAGGAGTCCCCAGCCAGAGGACCACCCCACTGCCTCTTCCTTTACCTCCTTTATCTAGGGCATGCCAGAAGCTTTCTGAAGATAATCCTAACTTTGATTTAATTAAAAAAAAATTCTGGAAAAAGAGAATGTTGACATTTTATAGGAGTTTCTATATGTGGTGCCTTTTATGAGAACTCTGAAATAGTAAATGCTTGTATATTTCATAGCTTATTTTAGCTTTGCTTTGCCTGAAAACTTAAAATGTCTCAAGAAAAGATTCTGATCTTCACTTTGGAATTTTTTATAAATGATTTTCAGCTAAAATAAGTATTTGAACTAATGTTAGTTGATGTCAGCTTAATATTTAGCTAATGTGATTAGATCAAACTAAATTTTATGTTTTGTAATTTTTTTTAAAACCCAGTAGGAAAGTGTAGCATATGCATATAAAATGTAGAAATATTAGAAAGAGGAAAAAAAATAAACCTCAGCATATACTACCATGGCGTAAATTCAAACACTGAGTGTATTCATATTATTCCCAAGGACTATATAGCTCAAGATTTTTTGGAATGCTCATTTTATTGAATACTGCCTAACATAGAATTTCATTTGACATAGTAAAACATTAATGAAAAATATAACCTTTCAGACCATTAGTGATTAATTGCCAATTTTTGAGCAGTTTTTGCCAAGGTAGAATACTCTGTTTCACAAGTCACTTTTTTAATTTATCAAAATATTAATAGAATACTCTTTAATGTATCCAAGATTATAATTTTTACAGTTAAGACATTTGGCTGTTTTTACTTATATCATTATTTCATATTGCAGTGTAGATTCAAAATCATGGCTCAGCAAATTACAGTCATGTGTCTTTGTGGCTGCTTGCATAGATGTAACAAATGTTAAATCTGTAAATGATAGTCTACTGAATTTTCAGTCTTTTTTCCTATCATATTTGTAATTCACAAATTGAGATTTACAGAATTAAATTTAAGTAGAGATTACATATTCAAGGTGCTATGTCATGTCTTCTGTTTGAATATGAAATATTCAAAGTTAAAATACAAATGGAGTATAAAAACCCAAACATGGATGTTTTGAGAGCAGTGGCAGAAGTTAATGAGGTAAAGAGCTCATGAAAGTCACCTACAGAATAAATCAAAATCAGTCTTGGTTTTCAGGAAGAATAGATATTGTCTAGCGTAGGACATGTCAGAAGTCTATTCTCAGTATTTATACTGGTATCTTCTTTTTATTATAAATCATTGTCTAAGTGTTCTCCTTAAATAAATAAATGTGGCCTTTTGGATAAGTGTTAAAAATTTATTTCCATTCTCAGCATCTTTAAACTTTGCTCCAAAAACTATTAGGTATTTTAGATATATTATTGGAAAACAAAATCTATCTTCTTGTCACACTTTGTTTAGATTGCATCTTTCTACAGCAACAATGTGGACTATTTCATTGCTTCACTGAGCTATGGGCCTAAGGCAGCGAGTGGATTCATTAGTCCTCTTTCAGCCGAATGCATGCTACAGTACAAGAAAAAAGCTGCTGCCTATATGAAGTCTTTGAGAAAGGTTTGTGAGCTGCTGTTAACATTTAAATCAGAGGAGAAGTCAGGAATCATTCCAGAGAATGGCAAGAGTTTTCCCACAGTTCATATTGTTTACACTTTATACAATTTTGGGGTACAGGTGGTTGACGAGTGTTGGGAGGGATCTACAGGGAAAAGAAGATGACAGAGACCCAAACTTCCCCTAAGAAGCTTTGCCTGTATTCGTAGGTTATGCTGGACTCGTGTTCCAAGTGCGTGGGGTGAG